CATAGGTAGCTTCGCCCTCGGTCTGCTGATCATAGAGCAGATTCATGTGCTCTTGATTCTCTTGATGCTCCTCATCATGAACCACATGGTCGTGTTGATGGTCGTGCGAACTACTCGACCTCGACATAGCTTCTCTTCTCTGCTGCTTTCGGATATCTCTCAGAGTACGCTCAATCTCCGAATCGTAGACTAGGTCTTCTTTCCGAGTAGAGCTCCTTGTCATGCACTAGAACCCTGCAAACCGCAAAGAAAAAGAAGAACTCGAAACCAAATGAATCCGCAAAAACCAAAGAAAGAAAAACAAAAAGAAAAAGAAAAAGAAAACAAGCAAAGATATAGAATCAATAAAGACCTAGAAATAGGCTAACCAGTCCCCGGCAACGGCGCCAAAAACTTGATACGTGTGTACCAAGTCTAAAATATATAACCCGATTCACAACTCATCGCAAGGATACGGATCGTCGTAACACGGGGTCGAACACGAGGACCGGTTGCTAAATCCAAATCTAAATCGAAAATAGATCAAAGCAAGCAAGCAAGTAATGATGGAAGTATATGGAATCTATAGAAAACGAAATAAGAAAGTAATGAAAACGAGTAACCTATCAAACAAGGATGACTACGGGTGTCGGGATCGTATTCGTATGTATGGGTATTTACTAAGCATGCGAGAATAACGACATTGTACTTGTATTCGGGAACCATCAAGCAACAAGAATAGAGAATTCACCTCTCGGTCTACTAACTCACTACCTAGAATAACTCGTCAATCGCTCGATCTATTCAAGTTAACCCTAGATGCATGAAGAACGCTATCATCAATCCTAAATCGATTAAACCATATCTCTATGTGAATAATACGATTCATTCATCAATCTCGATCCGAAACTAAACCCATATCTCTATGTGATTTAGAATCTCAGAATATTGGCCAAGTGATTAGCAAACACCAATAGAAAGAAAGCATAGATCGATAAACCAAGACAAGCATAACGTCGAAATCCAAGTTAGGGTTCAAACATACCCAAAACACATACGAATCCCTAACCCATAGCCGTGGATCTACTCACGGTTCATAGAAAAATACAAAAAGCTCATAAAGAAAGAGATAAAAGAGAGGAAAGAAAGTCTCATGCAGATGAGTAGTCTCCACGATCGAATCTTCCTTCTTCTTTCCGAAATCCCGTGAACTTCTATTCTTCTCTCACCAAAAGCTCTCCAAAAATCTGTATCTAAGTGTTCTCTAAGGGTCTCTGATGTTCTAGAACGTGGCTAAGGCTTTTTTATAACCCTAGGGCGGCTCCTAAGAGTCCTATTCCCATTCTGATGCTGAAAATCGCGAAACAGGGTTTTAGATTGGATCCGGACCGATTCCAGGTGGATCCGGACCGGATCCAGATTCCTGGGCTCGAGCTCAGCTGTCTTGATTCGGACCGGATCCAATTGGATCTGGCCCTGCACTGGCAGTTTTCTGGTCTACACGATTTCGCTCATATCTTTCTGCTCCGGTGTCGGATTTATGCGATTTTGGTGTTTACGCAAAGCTCTTGAAGTTCTCTTTCCAATACTACAAGTCTCGCATGATTTAGACTTCTGTAGAGAAAGTTATTGTTGTCGCAACATGAGTACTCCATCCGGACTTCTCCTTTAACGCTCCAAATGGCTCCTTTTCAAGTCCAATCATCTTCGAAACCTGTAATCTGCAAAACTAAAGCACAATCGGGTTTTTGTGTCCTAAAACGCCTAGAATGTCTATGAATGCATGTGATTATCCTGTAAAACCTAGACAGACTCTTATCAAAATATAGAGAAAAATAGGAGTTATCAATAGTCGATGCCAATCAATGACAACATAGATGCATATACGAGCTATTCTCCCATAAAGAAAAATAACCCTATAATAATTTTTTATATGAGTCTAAGATCCATATTTCACATAAGAATGAGTTGTTATGTTACTCTCAGCATCATGTCTATTTGAGTCACAATTGATCAGATTAAGCAACGATTGCATAATCAGATTTAGAAAACGAAAAAATTTGGAATCTGGGTCTCAGACCGTCCGTTTTGTACTGTAGAACGGACGGTCCAGCCTTTGAGAACGGACGATCTGACTTGGGATCGTTCTGGTTCGGATCTGAGGTCCTGCACCGGACGATCCAGACCTTTCGGTTCGAACCCCGATCCTAGACCCATCGCCAACCTGGACCGTCCAGTCTGGCACACCCAGAACGGACGGTCTAGGGTTACGTGATCACATCACGTTTTTCCGCGTTCTAGGCCCCGATCAAACCTGAAACACCTTCGAATTCATCTGTAGACCCAAAATTCGAACTCCTGCACTCTATGCAACATGAAACATGCAATCTACCATAGATTCAATCATCAAACATGCATAGAAATCAAAGCAAACATGGAATTTAACGATTTAAACCCTAAAACGTGCGTGATTAGGTTCTACGAAATCAAACAAGCAAACCAGGCTCTGATACCACTGTTGGGAATTCCTGGGATCTTTACAGCGAATCTAATTCCTAAGAGATCGATTCTAGGGTTTGCGCAGCGGATGTAAAACAATAAATTTCTATAAAATCCTAGAACCATGCATGTATGAATCATAGAAACGTTAGAACGCTTACCTCAATCGATCCGAGACTTGTATCAATCGATGTATTCGTCCGATCACAAAAGGGAGGAAGATTACCTCGCCCTCTACACGTATCTACACCTCGGGATGGATTCCAGCGATTGACGTATTGCTTGGTTGCTTTTTTTTGGTGTCAAAACAGGTATTCATGCATAAAAGAGAACAAAAGGAGTGGAAAACATGGACTACGACACATCACAGACGAAACGGAAACATTTGGAGTTGTTTCGGGGAAAAACACGAAGCCTAAAAAGTCGGATCTTGCAAGTCTAATAACTTCCACTCTACAAGTCCAAATTGCGCGTTCTCCATCTCATTGGAAAGCTCTCTTTAATATCTACGCATAAACACTAAGATCGCACAAATCCGACATTGGAGCAGAAAGTTATGAGCAAATCTGTCAAGCATGTTCGAGTTGAAGAATCGACACGGACCGTGTTGAATTCGACACGGTCGTGTTGTGTCCGTGCTGAAAAAAGTGAAGTTTTGCTCAGAGAATTGACACGGACCGTGTTGTCAAGAACTCGAGAGAGAATCAAGACAGAGTTTCCCGGGAGCAGAGATTGAAGAATCGTCGTCGAGAGATCGCTGCGAGTCTTCTTTATCTGTTTCTATGTTTCTTCTTATTGATTTGAACTCGTTAGTTGTTATGGGTAGTGAGTAGTCATTTCACTGTAGCTAGGGATTTAACCTTGTAGGGATTTGTTTGGTTTTTATTTTTCGAGACTACGTTATCGATACTCGTCGGTTTGATTGAATTGATTTTATTGCTTTTGATCTTCTTGGCGAGTTGATTGATTGATCTTAGATTCTGATTTACAACGAGAGTTGGAATTAGATTCGGAAAGAATTCATTGACTGAATTGATTAAGACTATTGAAAGATAGGTTAATCGGTTTAGGAACTGTGATAGTGATCGTTAATGCATTTGATATTTTAATCTATTAGGTTGAGAGATCGATAGGTTAAATTATTGGATAGTGGATTTAGGACTTGAGAGAGCCAAATCTGATATTAAAACTTGAGATCCCCGATTAGAGTTCGATATTCGTAGATTCTCCATCCTTAGAAACAATCCCTGCGCATTAATGTTATCCCGAAGCTACGGTGGTTTAGTTATCTGTTTTTACTTAGTTGATTTATTGTTTTATTTCCGATATTCACATACCTCATTCCATATTTTCTGGTCTAATTCTTGGTCGAGTCTTGTTCCTAGAGTTAACTATTCCATGTGTTCGACCCTGGTATTACAGTTGTTCTGTATCCTTGTGGTATTCGCTGTATCTAGGTTTTTATCACTTGAACATTATTTCTATACCTAGATTTGCGTTATCAAGTTTTTGGCGCCGTTGCCGGGGAGTAGTTTAACGCTAGGATAAAGATTCCTTTGAATCTAGATTTTTTTTTCTTTTCTTTTTTCTTTTCCCTCGATTTTTTGATCTATTCTTTGTGTTTGTTCTACTTTTTGGTGTGCAGATTTCTAGTGTATGACCAGGAATTCTGGGCCTGACAACCTAGTACCTCTTGATCCTGAAATCGAGAAGTCCGCTAAGCGCAGTCGAAAGAAGAAACGACAGCAAAGAAAGATGGAGGAACGTGCTATAGTTGTTGAGAACAACAATGACACTTATGGGGCATACCTTCAGCCTAAGTACATTCAGCAGCTTTCACGCATTCGCCGGCCTGACATCGACCGTAACAATTTTGGGTTTCAACCGGTATTCATCAATATGCTGAGCTCATCGGCTTTCAGGGGCAGACCTAATGAAGACCCGATCTCTCACTTGACTCGATTCAAGCTACTATGCCAGTCAGTGAGGACAGTCCGCGGAGTTACCGATGAGTCTCTCATGCTCATGGCCTTTCCATTCTCCTTAATGGATACTGCTCTGGAATGGCTCTACACACTACCTCCAGATTCCATATTCTCATGGGAACAAAAAAAGAAAAGTTCATGTAGCGGTTCTTCCCTGCTAGCAATACCCAGTCTCGCGAAACAACAGATTAACTCATTTTAGCAGTAACCTGATGAATCCTTACGTGAAACTTGGGATCGCTTTCAAGGATACCAGAGAACATGTCCTCACCATGGATGGGATAAAAGGTACCTTATTTCCACATTCTTGCAGGGATTAAAGGAGGACACTCGGGTTCTTATTCGAGTAGCATGTGGAGGAAGCCTCAAAGAAAAGTCATTCGACTTCATAGAGCAACAAATCAACAAGATGGCCAACGAATGTGCTCCCTCTCACGAGTTTATCAGAAACGTTAGCCTCAAAGACAGTCATGCAGGTAAGGAAAGTCTATCTGAAATTCAGGCATTACGTGCAGAATTAAGGAAAGGCTATCTGAAATGCAGGCATTACGTGTAGAATTGGCAAAACTTAAAATGCAGGTTGAGAATGCCCATAAGATCTCAGACTTAGACACATCAGCCAACGGGTACATGATCGAAGACATCTACTACATAGATAATAACTTGTACTCGAACGTGTCCAATTCGGGGTGGAGGAATCATCCAAACTTCTCGTACAAGAATTCTTCCAACGTCTTGAATACTCCCCATGGAAATTTTGGTGGTCCGTCTAATCAAGGTCTTTCTCAAGGACATCAACCTCGACCTCGAGCTCTCCCACAACATCAGAATCAGGCCGTTCAACACTACCTATCACCTCTTCAATCTCAGCAAAAATACGCTCCGTCTCCGCCTCCACCACAGGTAGATTTTGACCTCGATCTTAAGTCTATGTTCGCACAGCTTATGCAGGATCAAGAAGTCATTCGCACCAAGATGCGTGAACATCAACATAAGATCGACGCCCATTTCAAGCTTGTCGATAACCAGATAGCTCAACTCGCAACCTCTATACCTTCGCGACCTCAAGGATCACTTCCCGGAAAACCCGAGACAAATCCTAGAGAGATCTGCAATGCAGTGTTCTTGAGAAGTGGGAAGCAACTTGGGGATGTCGTCCCTTCTACTCCTGAAAAAGGTGAGTCTTCTAACTCTAGATATGCGATCACCTCTAACATTCAGTTTGCAGATACTTCAATTAAGATGACGTGTAAGGAAGAACCAAAGTATGTACCCCCACCTCCCAGACCTCCTCCGATTCCATTCCCTTCACGACTTGTGCAACACAAAGAGGCCAGTCAATTTAAGCGCTTCACATACATGATAAAGCAACTGGAGGTCACAATGCCTTTTCATGCGGTAATCACTCAAATGCCCTCTTATGCCAAATTTCTCAAGGATATTCAGGCTAGGAAGAAGACAATGGAGAAGGAGATAGTAGCATTGACCAAAGAGTGCAGTGCCGTTTTTCAGCACGATCTGCCCCGTAAGATGGCAGACCTAGGTAGTTAATTCCTTGCAAAATGGGCAATCTCTTTATTGAACAGGCGCTATGTGATCTAGGAGCAAGCGTAAGCCTAATGCCATTGTCGATCTTCAAGAGACTAGGTGTGGGTGAACTCAAACCCACACAAATGATATTACAGTTGGCAGATAGGTCAACCAAAAGGCCTGCAGGTATACTAGAGGATATGCCACTTAAGGTGGGTGATTATTACATACCTGTCGATTTTGTGGTTCTTGACATGGATGCAGATTCAAGCATGCCTATCATTTTAGGGCGGCCCTTTCTCAACACAGCAGATGTCATCATCCACGTCAGAGCAGGTCGTCTTACTATGTCAATTGGAGAGGAGACAATAGAATTCATACTCAATCAAAATGACAATCCAGACGAAAGTATGAAATTTATTTGTTCAGTTTACAAGCTCAAAACGCCCAAGAACCAGGACCACAAACACAAGGTTAAGAGAGGACCAGATCCAAATAGGACGAAAGCTTGGCAGAAGATCGATAATCTTCGCCCGTTAGACCCATTTGGTAGTTGAGAGAGTTGGGTCAAGCTAACGACCTTAAACAAGCGCTCCCGGGAGGCAACCCGAGTTTGTAGGTTAGTTTTTCTTTTCTTTCTTTTTTCTTTTTGCATCGGATATCGGTTTGTGTCTCTTATCACCAGGTTGAATTCTAATGAGGAGCTACCGAGGAGGCGAGGAAGCTAGCTATGCGATTGACGTAGGCAGACTTAAGTGCGAGTGAACGAACATCGCGAGCTAAGTATTCTTTTTCCTTCTTGATTTTCTTCCCTTCTGACTCATCTTATTGGTTGCCTCTACTAGACGAGAATTGACACCGAGTGATGTTGTCCTCATCACCGAGGATAGTATCCAGTTCAAGTCTGGGGGAAGATTCGTCTAACGCCAAACCATATCTATTTAGAGTAGTGTTGCATGCATTTTTCTTTTTTTAGGATAATTTTTTGATTTTTTTTTCACTTTTTAGTTGCATGTGCATATAAGATGTTTTAGTATCATATAGTTTGTTGTTAGGATTGTGCATATACATATAGTGTTTATGACATATAAGATCATGTGTATAAAACCGTTTTGAGTATTGATGTGATGATTTATGGTATGAGAGAGTAGAAACGTCTTGAAAACATGGCGATCCGTTAAACATGGTTAAGTTTTGTTGAATTGATTGTTTGATCTTTAGGATTGTCTAAAATGGTTTGTGGGATAGAAATCGTTGCTTGGAACCCATAGGACCGATGTTGTCTAGCCGAGTATAAAAGTTTCTATAGGAATCGTCCCCATGTTTGCTGAAATCGGTAAAGTCTATTATCAAATGCATCCTTAATTCTTCGTGTGCAGAAAAAGATAGTAAGCATCTCGACACTCCGCTGTCATGATCTCAACGAAAATCGTTCGAGGACATGAGTGCATCGATTAGATGGTTCGGGTCTAAGTTATGGGTCGGGTCATCCAATGAATAAAATCAACAAAATGAGCGATTATGAACCCTTGAACATCAACGTACTAGAAACCCGAGATGCTAGCAAAAGAAAAAAAAAAATCTATCTAGATGAAAGAAAAATAAAAGAGAAGAAGAAAAAGTATGAATACCGAAAGCGTAGACTGGATACGATTAGGTAGAATGGCGTGATTGTTGGTTTAGTGCTCTATGATATACTGTTATGCGAGCTTTACTTAGATACATTTGATGTATTGACACTTTCTATAGTTTATGGATGAGTGTTTGATTCATTACGTATTGTGCATGCTTTAATATGTTATGAAATCCATGTATTGTTATGAACAATACTAAACTCCCTAGTCATGTATCATTGTGGGAATAATGATATAACAAGACTAGTATGATGTGTGATTGATGATCATATAGATGATCATAGGTATTGGATACGATCACAATCATAGGTATACGTTGGAGAGAATACTGGATGACCCACATGAGATTGTCATATGGACTAGCGTCATGACTTGAATCTCATATGGCGGTTCCATGATTGGATCCTAAGACCTGAGATATCTACAGAATCCAACATGAGGAGTTGCGTGCTTTGAATACGTCAAACGTCCTGCGTAACAGGAGGACTATAAAGGCGTGTATCAGGTACGAAACGAATCATGTGTTGGATTGTAGATAGTCAAGACGGGATTTGTACCTCTCGTAAAAGAGAGAGATACCGCTAGGCCCCTCGTGTGAGCGAGACTGTAGAAATGTGTGGCCGCACTATAGACGAACGTTGTCTATTTCAGACAGTCGAACTCAGTGAACGAGAAAGCTGTCGAATCAGATAAGGTGGCTTGTCCATGCCTTATATTCCACATATGATATCGTGATACAAAAAGATCATCAACCGGAATCATCACTGACGTTCGTAAGATCACGAAAAAACTCTATTCGTGATCTTACGAACGCCAGTCATAGTGTCTTGCTAGAGACCGCCTATGACTTGTATATTCGGAATAGAGATTTCCGGTTATACTGCTATATCGGATGAGCCTACAGGGTCACACACACAGGAAAGGACAAATGCGCGAGAAGAGACGAGAAAATCCCGGTGGAGCGGAGGCCAGACCGACCGGTCTAGAACGTCTAGACCGATCGGGCCAGCCAACCCAGACCGATCGGTCCAGCCAACCCAGACCGATCGGTCCGGCCATTGG